CACTAGTCATGATTTTATAGACCTCTATCATATCCTCCCCACCCCAACTTCTCTTTTTCAAGCTGAAAAAGTTCCAGTCTTATTAATCTCTCCTCATGTGGAAGCTGTTCCACACCCCTAACCATTTTTGTGGCCCTTTTCTGAACCTTTTCCAATTCCAATGTATCTTTTTTGAGATGGGGCAACCAGATCTGCACACAATATTCAAGATGTGGGCGTACCAGGCATTTATATATACCCTACATGCTGGCAGAAGAAATGTTAAACTCTAGGCCCATCTATAGCATTGCAAAATTGCCTAAAGAGCTGGAAGTCTCAAGCCACTTGTGCAGCTGCTCTCCTTCTCTCAAAAATGCAGGGTTAAAAAGGAGCAGATGTGAGCAGAGGAGGTCTGAGGAAACGCAGGGCTCTTGTGCACTCGCCCGCATGCCAATGAGGAGCTTAGCGGCATACTCCCCTCTTTGGCTGCCCGGCAGTCACACAGCCATGGGTCCATTAATGCAGGACCAGGTTCCCCAGTGTTTCTGGGCCAGCTGATCACTCTTTATCGTCTACTTATGAATCTTTCCACTGACTTAAACAGACTTTGGATCAGACACTCTGAGAATCCTTTACGCCACTCCGGCAGTGTCAACGGGACTTAGTGGAGCTGAGAATCAGGCCCTTACAATCACTTTTACATGCCACAGAGGTGTAAAGGCGCTTTGGTGAGGGAGAATTAGGCCCCAGGTGAGCAACACACTAGACCAGAGGTTCCCAAACTGCGGGGAACATCCCCCAGGGGAAGCAACAAAGTCATCACGTGGGGGCAGAGGGGAAAAGAGGCACTTCCCAGTCAGGCACTCCCTGCAGGCGCCTCCCAGCAACGGCGCTGGGAGGCTTCTGCCATCACCTGCCTGGACATTTTGCCCTGGCTTAGGGAGGTGGCTTTGCTGAGCTTGGTTCAGGCAGGCAGCAGCAGGGGAACCAGATTTGGTGGGGCGTGGTCACTGTAGCCTCACCTGTCGGGAAGCAGCAGTGCAGAGGAGGCGGAGCCACCCGGTCTCGCTGGGCCGGGCAGGTAAGAGACAGAGCCTGCTGGGTACTTGGTACCCGCTCCTGACAGAGGTGGTGTGGGGGAGGGGTAAGAGCAGGCCCGCTGACGGAGGGGGAGGGGGGCGCAATTGCCATGGGGCCCCCAGCCACCGCCGCTGCTGAGGTAGCGGCGATGGCGGTCGGGAGCCCCAGGCCCTTTTAAATCACCCGGGCGGGCCGCAGGGCTCCTAGGCGTGCAGGGGGTGGTACCGGCCTCAGCGTCACTTCCACCCTAGGCCCGCACACCCCTAGAGATGGCCCCTGGCCCTGGGGCCTGGAATTGCTGTCAGCGGGCCTGGGTAAGAGTGAACCGGGGAACCCATGCCTCCCCACCTTCCATAGGCACCCTGTACCCCCGACCCTGCCTCACACAGGCACCCTGTATTTCCCAGACATCCAGCACCTCCCATCCCCCGCACTGGAACCTCCCCCCCCCGCCAGTTTAGCTGGCTGGGCTATCCATCTCCATTGGCGATGGAGAGTGGGGAGTGGTGCACATCAGAGCTAGGTTATCTTTCACAGAGTCTCACTCTCCTTCCTCCAGGAGCCAGGTTATGCTTCAGGTCAGCTGTAGCCTTCAGTCAGCTTTTCTCCCACCAGGCCCTTTTCCATTCACTCCTTTCACCTGTCAGCTTGGAGAGGTTCACAGGAGCCAGCCCCTCTCCTGCTAGGGTCTTAGAGAGCTCTTCTGTCTAGGCCCTTGTCTGTAAATGTGCCTTGATGGCCTTTTATGAAGCCCAGGTTATACAATTATCTGACTAGTGCGCTCATTCCCTTTAAATTACCTCCTCACAGGTAGCCTGGGCCCAGACTCCTCTTAAAGGGGCCAGCAACCTCATACCAGACAGGTAAACTGAGGCAAAGAAGTCAAATGACTTTTCCAACACGACAGGAATGGCGATCAGAAGCAGTACTTTAAAATCGGTGGTTCTGGCTTGTGCTCAGAAGTCTAGCTCACATATTTATCCTCCTCACTCACACATGACTGGTTTGATTGACTCTGTAAACTGTTATAGATTAAACGTCAGTTAACTTGCATGTCAAACGGGGCACACCAGGGAAAGTCATTGACTGTCCTGCCCTAAGGTAGTTTGCATTTCTTCAATCGATTCAGAGAGTGGAGTTATCATGGGTGATTGCAAGTTCAAAATATAATTTTTAAGAGGATCTTTGCCTTTATTTATCCTGAAAGTTTGATAGCAGGTCACTTGCTTCCCTCCCTTCCTTAATCCTCTGTCTCTAACTCTCCCTCCTGGGCTGGAGTAATACGGTGCATATTACAAAGAATTCCCCCTCGGTGACCCCTTACGTGAGAGAATAAACCAGAGTATTTTGCACATCCAAGAAAAGCCAGATAAGTGGCCTCGAATTTTGACTATGTAGGAGTCCTGCTTTCAGACAAGAGGCAGGTCAGCATTGTCTTGAAACATAAGGGGTAAAACTTTTTTTTTTTGGCCATTGGAAGATTAGTGACAAGCTGCACAATTCAGATGCATGGAGAAAATGTGGATTCAATTTCAAATTATAAAATCATAAGGTGAAATCCCGGCCCTGTTTAAGTCAATGGAAAAATTCCCAGTGACGTCAACAGGAGCAGCATTTAAAGGTCATCTCGAGCTGCCCCCACCTTCCTCAGTGTCCCCTACAGTTTATTGTTAGTGCACTGGGCCACTGATTTTAATAGTGAGACTTCCACACCTTCATTCGGGAGGCTATTCCATGGGATAACCCATCTCACTGCAGACGTCGATGCCAAACCTGCAGCCGCAACAGACACCGCACCCCTCCAGGGAGAGGGTGACCTTCTAGTGCAGGGGTGGGCAAACGTTTTGGCCTGAGGGCCACATCAGGTTTCAGAAATTGTATGGAGGGCTGGTTAGGGGAAGCTGTGCCCCCCCAAACAGCCAGGCGTGGCCCGGCCCCTGCCCCCTATCTGACCCCCCCTGCTTCTCGCCCCCTGACAGCTCCCA